CCCTCCTGCAGGAATGGACTCAGCAAATCCACAGTTGAGTTGTTGACAGAGAACATGGGCATCGGAGATGTCCCAGCCAGAATCACAGAGGGTTCCCCAGGTCCCCTCCACCTCGATCTCCACTCGCCCAGAACACGCCGTGCTGCCATTCACCAGCCTGAATCCTGTGTAATCTGGGGAAAGAGGAGGGAAAGTGGGGATGGTTTTGTGCTCTTGCACCCTCGGGTACTGGAGGAAATGCCAAGGGGATAGCAGCCCCTTTTGCTCCTTCTACATCATTTTAAGATTACAGACAATAACTCCATCTCTCCTGTATTCTAACCATGCTCAGCCTTGCTGCCCTGTTTCTTAGCACATAGCTTATGTATGGCATTTCACACCACCTCCCCAAATGCTCACGTGTGCAGGTGACACCAGCGTAGTTGGCATGGCTGCAGGTCTGGTTGCTGAGGGACCTCTTGGGGCAGGACGAGAGGAAGGGCTCATTTCCCACACACTGCAGCTCTCCATCCCAAATGGGACTGGTCCCCTCTCCAAAGTGAGCTCCCCCGTGGATGGACAGGGCAGCGCCACACTGCAACTCCCTGCAGATAATGTCAGCAGCTTTCACACCGAAGTGTGAGTCACAGACTGTTTTCCACTGGTCTCCATCTCTGATCTCCACACGTCCTGAGCAGGGGTTGTTTCCTCCAATCAGCTGAACAAATCCTGAAGAAAAAATAAAAAAATAAAACCCCCACAATGACAGGGAGTTGCAACAGGCTTCAGGCAGTTACATAGCAGCCACATCCAAAGGGTTCCATTAATGTCAAACAGCAACTCTCAGTAGGTTCATTCCACATACACTGCACCTCTTCTCACACCCACACAGTGCTCTGGAGCTTGTCTCAATCACAGTTCCAGAACTATAGGCACCACTCAGGGAAATGCTGCTGCTCCAGAGCCTGCCCTACTGGCCAGTGCCCAGCACCACAGCCCTAACGGTTGCTGCAGCCTGTTCAGCTCTGAAGAGCTCAGGGACAGTCTTGGAAATTGCCTTGGAGCAGCCGCAAATGCTCCATGTTCCCAGGGTGTCCTGCACTATTGGGGTTGTCAGTGACATGGACCCAGCAGGACCAGGATGAGCCTGTGGTGATGTGGGAGGGAGCAGCTAGTGGCCCCATAGACACCAACCCAGAGCTTGTGGGGGTGCCAGTCCTTGTGGGCTGGCCCTGGACAAAGGGTTCCCTGCTCACTGCCCTGATTCCCTGTCCCAGGCCTTGCTCCTGTCCCCTCAGCCGCTTTGGGTCAGCCAGGCGCTGCTGTCTGTGAGGGCCGTCTTGGGCCGTTTCCCTGGCCATGGGATGCTGAGCAAGTCATCCTGAGGTCTGTGGCACAAGGACACCCAGCACTGCCAGAAATGTCCTGACAGAACCTGAGGAGATTGATGGAGACCTGGACCCTGTTTGGCACGGTGAGGGATTCATCTCCCAGTCTGAGGCACCACATGAGGGTGGGCTGAGCCCCCAGGACCTTGATGGGGTCTGTGCACCCTGTGGTGCGCTCACCTGGAGTTTTCCCCAGGGACATCAGCAGCAACAGCAGATAGGCAGTGAGAGTGGCAATGTCAGGGCCTGAGATGGTACCCACACACTGCTCCTTCATGGCACAGCCCGGTTAGTCCCCTGATCCCAGGCCCGATCCCAGAGGTTAGGAATTGGATGACTCCTTACCTGAACAAACAACTCCGATGTCCTCATTGTGATTGCAGTCATGGTTACCCCAACCAGCATGTGTACACTCAGACAAAGCAGTCTCATTGCCCTGACAGCCTACAGAGTCCAGCCATATCGGGTCAGATCCTGGCCCAAAATACCCATCCCGGACAACAGATCCACAGTCCAGCTGCTTACAAACTACAGCAGCATCTTCCATGTCCCAGTAATCATCACACACAGTCCCCCATTGGCTCTGGTGTTTCACCTCCACTCTCCCAGCACAGTGGTTGTCTCCATCCTCCAGCCTCACCTCTGCAGCACCTTCAAACACAGACACAGGGCCAGTTAGGAGGGCACCATCCGCAGCACAGTGACTGTGTAGGGTCCTAGGGTTGAGTCCCTGGCCCTGGGTTGTGAGCCCTCTCCCCTCTGTGCTCTTGGGATGCCCAGGGACCCAGTTTCTCTGCCCCCACCCACAATGGCGGGTGGGCACCCACCTCCCTAGAGTCCACTCACTTGCTTTCAGGGCTTCACAGGGAACACCAAGATGATCTCCATCTTCCATCCCAACCCTCATTCCCTCCTCACCTATGGGGAAGAGCTCCATCCCTGCCCTTGGACAGGGCCCTTGTAAAAGGCACCTCTCTGCTGCAGGGTAAGCACAACAAGCCTCCTGGTCTCCTGTTCTCTGCATGGCACAAACTGCCCCTCCTCGGGCCAGGCAACCCTGACCCCGAGGCAGTGAACAGCACAGAAACCCTCCTGGCAACCCCGGGGCTGGCTGTGCCCTGGGATCACTGAGTGCTGCAGTCACCAGCAGAGTCAGCACCAGCTCCAGGGGCACAGTGCTGGGGGAATAGAATGTCCCCAGAGGGTGGCAAGGACGAGGTGTCTATAACACCCGGGCACTGACTGCCAGAAGCACAGGAGCCCTGGAAGCACCAATACCCTTCTCCCACCCAGAGGTCAACAGGGTCTTGACTTGAGCACTTCTAACCCTTGTCTCACTGCTCTGAGGAAAGATCCACCATTTCCAGAGGGATCCCAATGACCCCACTGCTGTTCCTTGCTCCATGCCCAGAGGTTAGGGAACAGGCACTTACCCCAGCACAGCTGCACCCAGACGAGCAGCCACAGCACCCAAGAAATGCGGAGTCCCTCTGCCTCCATCTGCAGCCTCCTGCCCTGACGGCACTGCCCTGATGCACCTTGTCCCTGCCACAAATCCTGGGGAACTTGTGCAGGGCAAAAAAGATGGGAGGCCAATATATATCTGCAGGTGCTGGCCCACCTCCACAGCGAGCCTATCGAAGGAGCAGGCACCTTTTTAGACGTTATCGGGGGTTATCTCCCTTCTGACACAACCCAGTCCTCCAATGAACTTCTCGAGCGCTGTTCATGACCATATATGTGGCACGGCTCCATTGCGGATGTCATGGCCACTGCTCTGGGGCATCATCCTGGGGCCTATCTGAGTGGGACAGGGCAGATCATGGAGGGAAATGGGTCTGTCACACTTTGTATTCCACTCAGGTGACTGGAAACTTTGAGGATCTCACATGCTGTGTTTGCCCGAGTGCCCAAAGTACAAGTGTCCATTTTCCCCCACACCATAAGAACTGTGGAGTTGGGATTGTCCCTGGGATGGGCTGTGTCAGGAAGGGAAGGAAGGAGGAACAGCCCCTGATCCTGCTATAGCCCCTCTGAGCTGGGAGCAGCAGCAGTGAAAGGTCTCTTTGCCATGGCCAAAGACACATCCCATGAGTGCGTTCTCATCCATCCCTTCTTGGACAGCCTGGTGCTGGTGTCTTGGTCAGGAGAAGGGAGCTGGAACATTTCACTCCTCTGACATCAGACAGGGCAGCCCAGGCATTCAGAGCCCCCCAGCTCTCACGGTGTTCACCCAAGAGCCCGTTATTCCCTTGCCCGGGCTGATCGGCAGATCCAAGCCTCGCCTGCAGGTGCACAAACCACAACCCACGTGACCTCGGCAGCCTGCGCCGCGCTCTCCCTGCAGCAGCGACCGAACCAGGAAGACGGTGGTTTCTCTCTGGGCTCAGTGCCCCAAGCAGTGTCAGTGCATGTAGCCACTGTGGCAGCTCCAGGACCTGCTCCCAGGGATGGGACTGCAGGGGCAGCTCCTGTTGCCTTTGCACTCATGGGTGCTGGGTGCAGGTCCTAGAAGTGCAGTGCAATTTCTCATCAGTGATGCTGCGT